GGGGCTCCTCCCTCTGCGGGCGGCGGCAAGGCCCTGCCCCTCAGTCCCCACCGGCTGCTTGGCCGCTCCGGCCCTCCTTTTGCCCCTCCCCTCCGCGCGCTCTACCCCACTAGGGCCACTGGGTGAGGGGCCTGCAGTGCCCGAGGGTGGGGCAGCTTCTGAGTACCTAGGGAAGCTGGTGAGGGGTGCCCCTTGGGGCTCAGGCCTCAGCCTCTACACACCCTCCAGCGAACCCCTCTACATCTAATGCCTTCCCCTGGACACCTTCCCCCCACACTCGCCCACTGGCCCTCAGGACCTGCTGGAACAAGCCCATTCGGTGCTCACCACCTTCGCTTGCCGCTCCATTCGCCTGGCCCCCAGCCCAAGGCCTCGGCCCTCCAGTTTTTCCTTGTTCGATAACCTACACTAACTCCTCAGTACCTGGGTCACGTCCACATTCCCAGTCTGCGCTACAGCTACATGATTGGGGTGCCTTCTCTCCCCCTCCCAACACTTAAGCCACTTGAAATCCTGCCTATGGGGTAGTAACCTCTTCTCTCTGGGATGCTGGGTTAGATGCTCCTGTCAGGCTCTGCCAACAGGGGGCGCTGGAGGGCAGCGCCCACCGGCAGCTAACAGCTCAAATGCCACCTTCTGCTCACCTTCTGCCTTCAACCAAAGCTGATCACCCCAGGCCCTTTCCCCCCTTCCCAGTCCTCCTAAGGGCTGAAATCCTCAGCTATTCACCAGGGCTGCTGTCCACCTAATTGGGTTAGCCCTGAAGTCCCAGCTGCCAATGTCCGCCCCCTGAGGCCTGTGACCCAGCCAGGACCCTGCCACTGCTCCCCAATACCACACAGCAGGCACCCCACAGTGCAGTGAGCCCAAGCCTGCTGAAAGGAGGAACCCTGGAGACCACCAACCCAGCTTGGAGCAGCGCAGCTGGGAAATGGAAAACAACACAGGCTGCCTGTCCTTTGAGTCACAGAGCAGCAGTTTCACCCTTAGGAACTCTCAGATCTACACAGAAGTTCTAGGGATGGTCAGGGACAGACAGCCAAAGTCAGGCAGGGACAGGTGGGCAGAGACATGGGTGGTGTCATGGACAAGGGTAGAGAGTGGGGGTCAGACAGGTGCACCTGGACCCTGCCAAGCATCTACCAGCTCTGTGACCCGAGCTCAGGACCCCCATCTGTAAAAATGCTCTGCCCACGCAGTAAGGGAAGTGAAACCCTGCACACTGCTCAACATAGAAGCCAGCTGTCATTGTAAAAACAACCTGTGTAACCCATTCATTTCACAGCATCTCCTTGGGGCCTCCTATGTGCACCTTCTAGTTGCGGGGAAGTGGGGACAACAGGAAACAGAAAAAGGGTTCCTGCCCAGAGGTGACCCCTTAAGGTTTGGGAGCCGGCCCACAGTGGTACGGGTGGCCTGGGGAGATCTCCCTCTGCCACAGATGTTCATAGAGGGAGTGATGAGGGCACAGTTAGCCCTTGATGAGCACCAAGGCACAGAGTGGTCAGCAGATTTGTCCAACAGGATTGAGCCTGGACCCTGATGGCCTATCTCAGACCCCTGCCAATGGAGACCAGGAGTCCCATCCCCAGAGCATCGTGCTCTGAGTTCCGGAATCACAGCGGACCGGTGGGATGGGGCATAAGAGTCACCACAGTCCTAGAGGATACAGACTAAGACACCCCACTTGGGACGTAGGGCTGGTAGGGACCATGTGTGGGTGGCAAGTACTCATAGAGAAGCAGCTCTGTCCCCAAGTCCCTGCGCTCACCCAGATAGCACCCTGAGAATCTGCCTGGACCCCGAGCTGTGCAACCCAGTCCTACTCCAGCCATCATAGCATCCTACCTTCTAGCCTTTTCCATTCTGAGGCCTGTCTGGAACCCAAAGGTCCTAACTCGAGCCCCAGCACCTGCCCGCTGACCCCTCCAGGGCTGCCCGACCCCTACCTGAAGGGGCCTTGGCTGCCCCTGGCCACTGCATGACCTCCGATGTCCTTCTGCTCAGCAGCCCGGTCCCGGTCTTTCTCCTCCTGCAGCCGCTGAAGCAGCAGCTGGTGAGGAAGGCTTCGCAGTGAGGGCCCAGGGGAGGCTGCCGGCTGCCCTTCTCCCTTCAGGTTGATGTCGCTGGCCGAGCGCTGGAGAGGTCGTGGGGATGCCAGGCCACTGGGGCCAGCAAGTCGTCTCCGCTTTGCATAGCTGGGAGTTTCCCTGAATGGTACTGGAGGAGGAGGGAAGGATGAGCTACCAGGCAGCCAGAGATGAGAACGAATCTATCCAGTTATGGTGCTGAAGGTTCTGTATGTGGCCACCCTATAACAGAAGGGGCCTGCCAAGGGGCCACTTCTCAGACACACTTGAACCCTCCCTGCATCTTGACTCTCGCTCCCAGAATAGGCGGCCACAGTCTCTGAAGCCCACTGAGGCCCTGGGGACCCTCGGATCTATTCTCAGGACAGCCATTCCAGCCCAGGCCACCTGTGACTATCCCTCAGGGTTCTGCTAGGAAGGACCATGGACAGGGCAACCACAAAAGGCATCAGGACCGGAGGGTAACAAACTCCTTTAGTAAAGGGCCAGCTAGTAATAAGCACTAGACTTTGCAGCCTGTGGGTCGCTGATGCACACTCAACTCTACCACTGTGTTTACTGCTGGTGCATAAATACATGGGCACAGCTAAGTCCCAGTGGAAGAAGGGAAACTATCTCTACTCACAAGCGACATGGTTCTATTCTAGAAAATCCCAAGGGACCCACAAGAAAACTACTAGAGCTAAAAGATTAATTCAGCGAGGTGCAGAATACAAGACCAGCGCGCAAAAATCAGTGGGGTTTCCATACACTAGCAGTGAACAACCTGAAAAGGAAATTAATAAAACAATTCCATGTGCAATCGAATCTAAAAGACAAGAACACCTAGGCAGAAGCTTAGCCGGGTTGGTGAAAGACTTGTACACTGAAAACGTAGCTGGAAGAAATTAAAAAACTAAATGAAACTATAAGGCTGGTGGTTCAAACCCACCAGTTACTCTGCAGGAGAAAGATGAAGCTGTCTGCTCCCATAAATATTTATAGTCTCAGAAACCTTCCATAGGGTCGCCATGAGCTGGACTTGACTTGATGACCATGAGTTTGGATTTTTCTAAGTAATTAAATGAAAGGACGGCTTATTTTTATGGATTGGAAGATTTACTATTGTTAAGATGAGAAGACTACCCAAGCAATACACAAATACAACGGAATCCTCATCAAAATTACAACCGTTTTCTTTGCAGAAATGGAAAAACTGATCTTCAAATTCATATGGAACGGAAAGGGGCGCCAACTAGCCAAAGCAATCCTGAAAAAGAACGCAGTGGGAGGACTCACTTCTCCATTTAAAAATCACAAAGGTACAGTCATCAAAACAGTCTAATACTGTTATACGGGTAGACATATGGACCAACAGAGCAGATTTGAGATTCCAGAAATAAACCCGCACATCTATCACAAATTGATTCTCAACAAGGATGTCAAGTCCGTTCAATAATAGTCTCTTCAATAATAGTCCACTTGGTATATATCCTCAAGAAACAAGATGTGTGATACAACTAGAGCTCTGCACACCCATGTTCACTGCAGCACTCTTCACAACAGAACAAGATGGAGCCAGCCGAAATGCCCATCAACAGAAGAACGGTTAAACAAACTTTGATGCATACATACAATGGAATAGTACGCAACACTGAAGAAGAATGAAGAATCTGCAAAACATCTTGAAACATGGATGAACCTGGAGGACACTATGATAAGAGAAATAGCTGTTGTTGTTTAGTGCCACTGAGTTGGTTCCAACTCACAGCGACCCTGTACATGGTTTCCAAGGAGTGGCTGGTGGGTTTGAACTGTCAACCTTGCATTTCAAAACAGACCTTGTAGTCCAGTGCTTATCTGATAGCACCAGGACAAATATCACCTAAGACCATTGCTGTAAAAAGTTAAGAAAAGATTGTCTTGCTAAATGAAACATACTATGATGGTTACAGGGCGGGGAGGGGAGAAGGGGAAAAATTAAAGTGAATAGAAGTAAATACTGCTAACTGATAGTACTTAGAATGATTTACAATCATCGTAATGACACAAAGTGTATAATTTGCTGAATGTGGGACTGATAATCTGTTCTATAAAATTTCACAATTAATGATTATATATTCCTGAGTACTTCAGTGTACAATAACAACAAAAAAACAGAAACCAGAGGGAATGGAAGCAAATGCTGTTGAATGATGATGCATGGAGGGGATTGTAGTCATTGCAATGAAAAGAAATACGATAGGATGAATATAAAGCTGGTGTTCTCCCATGGAAATGATCACTCAATTCACAATAAAAACTTAAAAAAAAAAAAAGTTAAAAGAAAAAAAATCATCTCTTTAAACAAATGGTGTCGGACAACTGGGTCTCTATATATCAAGGAATGAAGTTAAATCCTCCCCTCACAACATCTACAAACGTTCATTTAAAATGGACCAATGAACTAAATATAAGCCATAAATTCTTAGAAAGAATCATAAGGACAAAGTTTCAGAATCTTGTTTTTGACAATAAGCAACAAAAGAGTACATAAACTCGACCATCAAAATTTTAAACTTTTGTACATCAAAAGACTATCAATCAAATAAAAGTCAAGCCACAGGAAAGATAAAATATTTGGCAAAGCTGAGGACTCTACACGCATAGTAAGAGAAAGGCTGTGTGCTGGCGAGCAGGAGGCTGGCTTGCAAAATGTGCCTTTTGGTTGTTTAAAAGATTATATTATTCCTGCGTGGTTTTGTGTACACCAAAAAAAAAAAGAGAGAGAGAGACGGAATAGAGGCAAATAATGTTAACTGGTGGAACATGGAAGGGATTATGATCATTGTAATGAAATAAAATACGATTGGTTGAGTGCAAAACCGACGTTCTGCCTTGTAAACTATCGCTCAATTCACAATAAAAGCTTTTTAAACAAGTCGGCAACCGTATAACTGATAAAGGTTAATGTCCAGAGTAAAGAACCGCTAGAACTCGACAAGTAACCAACAACCCAGTGAAGAAGTATGCAAGAACCTGAAGAGCTACTTCTCCAGAAAGAGAAGCACATGAAGATGCTCAACAGCACGTCATCAGGGAAACACAAACCACTTCACACCCACTAGGAAAAGAAAAACAAAAGCGAAAATGACACGTGTTGGCAAGGATGTGGAAAAACGGAACACCTGTTTACAGTGGGGACGTAAAATGGCACAACACTGTGAAAAACAGTTTGGTAGTTCCTCAAAAAATTCAAGATAAAATGATCATGACTCAACAATTCTACTCCCAGGTAAATAACCAAAAGAAAGCAGGGACTCAAACAGATACATACACGAATGCTCATTGCCTTACTCACAATAGCAAAAGATGAAAACAATTCAAGCGCCCATCCACCAACAGATGATGGATAAATAAAACGTGGTCTATACACACTGTGGGTTGTATGTGTGGTAAGGGTGGTGGTTTTGTAGGATAAGTACCGAACTGCAAAACACAAAGTTGGAGGTTCAAGCCCATCAGCCACTCCATGGGAGAAAGATGACGCTTTCTGTTCCTGCAAAGATTTACAGCCTTGGAAACCCTATACAGGGTCGCTAAGAGTGAGAATGGACTCAAAGACGCTTGTGACGTAGTGAATTATCTAATGGCTCTTCTGGCCATAGTCTATAACTCACACCAAACAAGGTTTCTGCCCTACTGCGTAGGAGATGGTGGGAGAAGATACTGATAGGATTACGTGATTCCGCTGTGGATGTGAGCAGAGCTCATTAAAATTACAAAAACTTGATCCTCTCGCATGGGTTTAAAATGAACCACCTCAGAAGGAGGGGAGAAGCTCACTACCATCAAAGAAAAAGATCCAGGAATGGAGTGTATCCTTTGATCCTCAAGATCCCTGTGCATGGAACCTCCTCAACCCAGGGACAGAGAGCGTGGCACTGAAGGAGGGGCTGAGGAAGAACAGCAGGAGAGGTACCAAGAGCCAGGGCACACGAGTGGCAGCTTTCCCTGCCCTTAGAGCAAGTAAAGCTGAGTGACTGGCCGGGAAGCTTCCTTGTACAGTGGGGTGCCTTTACACACTTCAGTGGGGGAACTAGGTTTGCTGAATGTGGCACTAGAGCCAAGTCCCTTCAGGCTGCAGCTTCCTGTGGAGCAGTGTGGGCATTTCCCAACAGCTGATTAGAACAAGTGTGCTCTGAACAGTTCTGAGCCCGGATTGTAACCTGTGAGCTTCCTTACTAACCCCAGAACTTGAGGATGGTGTCTGAGTTCTGTTAGCTGCTGGTTCCTGGAGTGGACTACAGCCATGGGTTAGCAGAGAAGCAGAGAGTGCTGTGGGAGGAAGGGTTTGCTGCCATAGTTTTGCAGGACTGAACAACCAAGAGAAATGGAGTTCTGAAATACCCGATGATATGGATGAACCTCATAAATACAAATACGATGCTAAATGAAATCATTAAACACAAGAAGTGTGTGTGTGCTCCCATACAATAGTGAAAAATTGTTATTAGGACTGCTTGTGAGGGTTGGAAATGTAAAAATAGACATTTTGTACCAAAGAGGGGAGTGATTAACTTTGCCGTCTAGAAGCAGAGGTCCCTGGGACCATCAAGGGAGAAGAGCAGAGAATGGGACCCTACCCAGAGAAGCAGTGATGCCTGAGATGGAGGCAGAGATGATGACATGGAGTGATGGAGCAGCTGGGGACTTTAGATCCAGAGAGGGAGAGCGACTGTGTGCTGACAACCGGGGGGTGAGGTGGGGGGCAGGCTTGTAGGATATACCCTTTGGTTAGTTGATGATGCATAGAAGAGACTGTAACCATGGCAATGTAATGATATACCACAGAATGAATGTAAAGTTAATGTTCTCCCATGTAAACTATCACATAATTCATAATAAAACATAAAAAAAAAAAAAAAAGTGTGTGCTCCCATCACACAGAATAATCTAGACAAATCCATGGAGACAGAAGGTTAGCAGGGACTGAGGGTGGGGACCGTGGGGATGGTGACAAACATTTGGAGAGGACTGAAGGTTGTACAACCTGGTGAATGTAGTTAATGCCACTGAGCCGTGTACTCAAACCCACTGTGAAAATGGTCAGGTGGCAATTTTCTGGGATACATATGAAACCATAATGTTTTTTTAAAGAAGTCTGCTGCAGGGGTGGTGGGATGTGGGCCATGGTTTTCCAAGCCCCATTCAGACTCAGCGTAGTGTGGTCACTGGAACACAATCATGGCTCTCCTGGAAGCTGGGGAGAAGCAAAGCCTCGCCCCACCCAGACCTGCCCTGTGACTGGATACAGAAGTGCCCCCTTGCTCTCATCAAGAACACGGGGGGGTCCCCAGAACACAGTGTGCCCAGCCCATGAGAGAGTGGACCCAGGAGGTGGAAGAGCTGGAGGGAAGAGTCATCCTGTCCTGAGGAGGAGACCAGAGTGGGCTCCCCAGGAAAGGAAGCAAAGGGAGGGGCAGACCTCAGGGACTGGGTCACACAAAACATAGCATCTTGTGACCATGAGGGATTTCTGAGCCCCACTCTTCCACTGAGTGTCTCTGTGCCTCAGTTTCCTCTTCTGTAAATGGGGCTAACATTGGCCAGCCCTCAGGATCGCTAAAAGAAACTGAGTCACTGGCTTGCATGAGTCTTCACAAATGCACAGCAATGCGTCCTGAGTGGATGACCACGGGGTTGCAGTAACCCCAGGACTTCCTGAATGTCTAAAGGCCAGTATCTAGGGCAGCAGCAGCCTCCGGAGCCCCAGTGCCTCTGTCTACCCACGGCCTCTTGAGGCCACATCAGTTGAGCCCAGCTGTCCAGCCCTGTGCCCAGCCACAACCCAATGCCCTTAATATCCCCAGGAGGCCTAAGTGGGAATGAGAAACGAGTAATGAAAGAGACTATTTTACTTCAGGGAAACTGAGGCGCGAAGTCATAAGCAACTGTCCCAGGTTGGGCTTGTCACAGACACAAGCAATCCCAATGATGCTCCACAAACCAGAGTTCTACTAAGATCAGCCCCAAAAGCTCAGCTGAGTCAAACACCAAACCTTGCCACGGTCCATCCCAGACTCAATGTGGACCCCAATCCCACAAGATCTCATCAGCTCCACATACCCTCAGCAAACCCCGAAGGGTCTGTGTGGACTAGGATGTGTCGGGCACACAGACAGCCCAGCCATCTCTCAGCTCGTGGACTTGCCACATCCGGGGAGAGGACCATTCAAGGGAAACTGGCCAAAGTTCAACTCCAAACCCTAGCGCTGATGTCACATAAGAACCAGGCAGGGCTCCAGCCTGAACACACACAGCAGGAAGGCGAGTTGGGAGCCCTTTCCAGAGACAGGCCGTCCAGCCAGGCCACAGAGGGCATCCACCCAACACACGGGAGAGGGACTGGGGACCCGCACAATGGCCCTACCTCACCCTGCTCTTCCTTCTTGGCCTCCATACACCAGGAACCCAGAGCCCCTGCACTAAGGGCATACTGGGCCAGTCCAGGCCTGACCCACTGCACTCTAATTCCATGGCACCCTATCCTACGGTCCTTGGGTTAGGGTTAGGTTAAGAGCCACAGCCATGGCCCCTGCCAGTCCCCCAACAGACACACTGACCCAAGCCCTAAACCTGTGTCCAGCACATACGGTCCACCCAACGCGATCCATGTCCAGCATGATTCCAGGAGTCCATGCTCCATGGCCTCAGGGAAGACTCACCAACATCAGAGTCTTTGTGGGTCTTGATGACCTCAGCGAGCTCAAAGTTCCCAGCGATGATGGCAACCTGGGGACAAGCAGGGGTAAGGGACAGAGTGAGGAGTGTGGACGTGTCACACCGAGAAGTGTGTCACCACTCATTCCGCGAGCGCCAGCCAAGTGTCTACTACATGCATACAGGGACAGAGGTGAGCCAGCAGGGTCTGGGCCAATCAGGACAAAGGGCTGAGGTGGAAGGGAGATGGAGAGAGGGGACAAAGGGGACACGGCCAGAGTCTAGGTCCCTCAACACTAATTGCCTCTAGGGGTACAGACTTTCCTGATGGGCTGTACGGTCACTGAGGAAGGACGATGCTCTGCGGGGAGCTAAGAAGTCCCCAGCCCTAATCCCACCTTAGTCTCCTCCTGTGCAGCCACACAGCTCCCTACTGAACTCCCCTATTCCTGGGGTGACCACATCTCAGTTTGCCTGGACTGAGGGGTTCTTGGCATGTGGGCCTTTCAGGACTGAGGCCAGGTGCCAACCACCCCCACTTGGAACTATTACCTCATGCCTGCTCCCAACGCTGCACCCCACCACAGCCTCACATTTCCCTGGCCAAGGTCCAGCCTCTGCCCAGTCACACAGTCCCCTTGGCCACCAATCAGCCCCTCCCACAGTCCCTATTGGAAGACGGATCCTTCTGAAGCCTGACTCAGGCCACATCCTCCTCTCTCAGAGATCACTAGAGGGATCTCTGAGAGATCCCTAGAACACGGTCTAAGCTTGCCAAAACGGGGGCCCCACTTAGCAAACCCCAGACTCCATGCCTTATTCATCCCAAGCCCAGAGCTCGGCCCACCTGAGAAGGGGGTCAGGACTGGACCAGTGACCATTCACATCAGCCCCTACCCGGCCTCTGCTCCCACCTTCCACTGGGGTTCTGGCCCATTCCATCTTCTCGTCCCCTGCCTCAGAGCCTCCTGTCCTTTCTGACCATCTTCTCTCCCTGGTAGGTGGTCAGGAAACTGTCCTTGGGAGACAGTTCATCACACGCTCCTCTGACCTCCTTCTTGCATGCTACCCATGCATTCAGGGAAGGGGGGGGTGTCCCTGATGGATTTCCGGGTGAGAACCAACATCCAGAGAGAGCCAGTTACGCACATAGATACATGGATGGATGCCCCCTCCCAGGGTCGGGGCCAAGTGTACCTGGAAGGCTGTCTGGCTGTTGTAATTGCGAACATCCTTATTGGCACCCCGAAAGAGGAGGACACGGGCACAGCTCTCCTAGGGGGTTGGCAAGGGAGGAGACAGGGAGGTCAGGACCATGCGGGCCACAGAGAAACGCTGCCCCTCCATCCAAGCATATGCACGCACACCTACAGTGCCGGGCACCAAGTCTACAGGCAGGTGCACACACTCAGCATTACTCTACGTCAGGTGACACAGACAAGAACCCCACCCAGCCCAAATGTGTCCAGTTCACTCCTAGCTCTTCAGAACACAGGTATGCACACATGACACAGGCATGTGTGACCACAGTGCAGCCACACTGCAGGGGACAGACAACACACTCGAGTGAGACGGAGGCTTCAGATAACCACGCGTCATCATACAGGGCTCACCTATATGCACACACCAAAGTCACACCTGTGGGAAGACTCAATGCTGCACACACACCTAGATGTACATAACAAGCCCTCACTGTACACACGACTAGTACATGAAAAATGAGGCACACACATACATACAATCATGCCTCACTGTGCATGTACACAGGAGATGCAGCACATGTATATATGTACACAGCATCCCATCTCACTGTACCTGTACATGGAGAATAAGGCACATACACACACACAGTCACGCCTCACTGGACATGTACATAGAGGATGTGAAACACACACACACACACATATATATATGTAGCCTTATCTCACTGTACCTGTACATGTAAAACAAGGGACACATACACATGCACACAATCATGCTTCTCCATACATGTACATGGAGGATGTGGCATGTACATGTGTCATCCCATCTCACTGTACCTGTGCATGGAGCATGAGGCACACACACACACAGTCATGCCTCACCAAACATGTACACAGAGGATGTGGCACTCACACACAGTCATGCCTCGCTGACATGTATGTGGCATGTATAGCACACCTGGTTATAGAGGGCGCAGATGTGCAGGGCCGTGTTCCCGGAGGCATTCTGAGCCCCCATGTCCGCGCCATAGAACAGCAGGTGTTCCAAGTGCTGGACATGACCAAAGCGGCAGGCCTGGGGGCAGAGGAGGGACTAGATGGACTGGGTTCAGCATACGCAGATAGGTCAGTACCCCAAAAACACATCGGTCAGGTCCCCACCCACAGACAAGAGCTAGGAGCTCCCACAGACAGCAGCCCCCACAAACAGTGGCCAAGATCCTCCCACAGACAGAGGTCAAGACCCCATCGATGGCCAGGTCCTTACTCATGGACAGGGGCCAAGCCCCACACACACCCACACACAGCCAGCCCCAACCACAGAAGCTGGGGCCCGCAGGCGCACCTGATGAATCTCCTGCCAGCCATTCTCATCGGTGGCCCCCAGCCGGGCGTGGTCATGGAGGAGCAGCTCGCAGCAGAGGGCATCCCCGCCCCCCAGGGCACTGTGGTACAGGGGCGTCAGACCACGGCTATCCTTATAATCAGGAGATGCCCCCAGGTCCAGCAGGGTCTGGGGGGAAACAGACTCAGCATCCATGCAGGGCCGCTAGCTGCCCCTACCCAGGTGTCCACCAGGCCGGGGCCCAGCTGACCGTCAGAGCTGCTGCATTCCGCTGCCGGGCAGCACAGTGGACGGCCGTCAGCCCGTCCCGGGTGCGGAAATCTAGGTGGGCGCCTCCATTCCTCAACACCTTCAGCAGGTCCGTGGCATTGTCCAGCTGGGTAGCAAGGCTCAAGGGGCACTCTGGGGCCAGGGCAAGGGACAGAGGATGACAGAGATTATGGGCAGCCCTGCCCTCCAAGGCCTGTAGTGGCCCTGGTCAAACTGTTTGGTGCTTACCTCCTGAGTCGGGGTCGTGGAAATTGGGGTCCAGCCCCTTGTCCAGCAGGCGGGCCACCTTATCTGTGCTGTGCAGCTGGACGTAGTCCATGAACTTCTTCAGGTTTGCCTGGAGCACACACCACACACCGGCCTATCAGTCTGTACCTCTGCCCCCCACCCCCCGGCTTGCCAGCCAGTCTCCAGCCAGTGTCATTAGGGTCTACCACCCACCTGGGTCCTTCTCAGTCAGACCTGCTACTGCCCACTTCACCCCAAGCCCATCTCAACTCGGTCCACGCAAAACCAAGTCTCCTGGCAGCCGGATCCCCAGTCCCCACTCACTGTCAGCCCATGTCCAGCCTCCAGCCCCCAGCAAGACTAGGCTGCCCTAATGCCCCTCAGTGAGCCTTGCCCAGTCTCATCACTGCCCCAGAAGCCCCTTCCCAGCCCAGCATCCCAACCTGCCCCACCCAGAAGAACCCAAAGCCACACTGGCAAGAGCCAGCTGCCCTCATTCCGAAGTGCAGTGCCATGAAGAGCGTGGACACCGGGGTCAGTCCCAGATGGACAACACTCACAGGACAATGGCCCCAGGGGAGACTCAGGGACACATAGAGGTCAAGAACCAGGGTTCTGGAGTCAGGCCCACTGAGTGAGTGCGAAGCCATAAGCAGATACTTTTCTGTGGGTCAGTTTCCCCATCTTTGAAAGGGGGCTGTGAGATAGCTCCAGGAGAGGATGACTGAGCTGACCAGCAGCAGCAGGCCACTCCGGTACTCTCATCAGCCCTCCAGCTTGTCTCCAGAGCCCTGGTGTAATCCACCTTCAACTGCAGCCCATTTCTATGACCCCACACCCATCACAGGACCACCCTTACCCCGGTCACGGTCACGAGGGCCTCCAGCCAAGTCGTTCCCTGAACCCGGGAGAAGCAGATCAAGCTGGGGTTGGAGAGAGGGTGTCCAGCACCCGAGTGAGGTGGAGGATGCTGGGGCAAGGGGGCACCTCCAGAAAAGAGCTAGCAGAAGGCAGTGGAGGCAGGAAGAGGGACAGGGCAGCCTCTAGAATCCCATTCCCCTGACTGACCCCTTACCTTTGTATGAAGTTTTGCAAACTGCTTATCATCAATGAGGTTCTGGGCATAAACACGTCGCTTGTATCGAAACTGCTCAGGTAAAGAGAAGAGAGAGAAAAGGCATCTGGTGGCTGAGGGAGTGGGGAACAGAACAGCCTCGAGAGCCCCCAGCTCTCACCCACCTCCCCCTGCAGGGTGGCTGCAACCACCCTACAAACTCAGTGCACCCACAAGAACCACCATGCTGCCATACATCTCCCCACCTTCTGCATGAACTCCAAGGTAACTCTACCACACACAGCTCATGACACACACTGCCCTGGTGGCCACAGAACCCACCACGCTCAGGCACGGCAGGGGACAGGAGATGCTTGCTTCCACGTCCTTTCTCTAATGGGCCCTTCTTTCATCTCCAGCCCCAGAATCCCCTTGAAATCCCCTACTTTTTTCCAAGACCCAGTTCCAGGTTCAACTTCTTAGACATCTCCTCCCTGAACGGGAACACACCCTACCAAAGAGGTCAGGCAAATTCACTGCTCAGACATCACCGTGTTCATTTCAAGACCCACTGTGCTGGCCACACACCTGGACTTCTAGGGTCTGACTAGAGGGGCCAGAGGATTCAGTCTGTGTGTCCACCTGGCAGGGGGTCCACACATGCTCATGCCTCTGAACAAGTTAAGGGTGGTCTGCCTTCAGAAGACTCACACCACATACCCCTCCCAGCACTCACCGCTCACAGAAAACCATACTACGGTTCATGCTGCCCATGCACACACTGTTCACACCACACACACAGCTCCAGCACCAAGTGCACACTGCTCACATCACAGCCTGCTCAGCACATACTGCTCACATGCTGCATACACTATTCACACTACATGCACACCTACACTATTCACACCACATCCACATGATCAAACTATTCCTACCACACACACTGCTCATGCACAGACTGCTCAAACATGACACATACTGCTCATGCACATACTACACACACTGTTCACACAAGCACATAATCACACTGTTCACAACACACACACAGCTCAAGCACAAACTGCACACTGCTCACATCACATGGCACATGCTGCTTATGTGCATACTACACACATTGCTCACACACTGCACACACACTATTCATGCACATACTACACACACTGTTCACACCCCACACACAAGCACACTATTCATACGACATGCACAGAATCACACTTTTCACACCATACACACTGCTCACACCCCAATCACACCACATTCACATAAGCACACTATTCATACGACATGCACAATCACACTATTCACACCACACACGAGCACACTGTTCATACATGTACACAATCACACTATTCATACTACACACACTGCTCACACCACACATGAGCACACTATTCACACCACACACACATGAGCAACTATTCACACCACACACGAGCACACTGTTCACACGACATGCACACAATCACACTATTCACACCACACACATGTGCACACTACTCATACCACACACTGCTCACATGCTATGCACACTGCTCACACCACACACTCGTCATACACATACTATGCACACAAGCACACTATTCACACCACACACATGAGCACACTTCATACCACACACACTGCACACACTCGTCATATACATACTAAGCACACTAGCACACTATACACACCATATGCACACTGCATATAGTTCATTGCTCACACACAGCACACGCTGCTCATGCTCACACTGTTCACAAGCACACGCGCTACACATATTCACATCCTGACTGCTCATCACTCATGGCCCTCCTGGCTCCCGCTCTAACGCCTTGGGTGCAGGTTCCTAACCGCAGTGACCTTCGTTGCTGCGGCCGCCCCTAAGCCTCCCTGCTGCGACCCCCCCCCTCCCGGGCCCCCAGCCGTGGCCCCTCCCCACCGTACCTCCAGGTAGGGCAGGGGCGTGTCCAGGTTGGGCGGATACTCCCGCAGGAGCCGCTCCTCGTCCAGGAACTTGCCGGCGCGGCCCTGGGAGGGCGGCTGGAAAAGCCCGTAGTTGAGCGTGTCCTGCAGGCTGTGGTTGAGCGTGCACAGCACGCGCTGCTTGGAGGCCCATACGGGCGCGTCCGGGTCCAGGCGCAGGCACTTCTGCGGCGGATCAGGCTCGTGAGCGCGGGCCCGGCGCCTCGGGAGCCCCGCGCAGGGCGCCGAGCCCCAAAGCCGGCCGAAGCCCCGGCAGCTAGCGCTGCCTCCGCCGACTCGCGCCTCGGCGGCCGGCGGCCGAGCCCCGCCCCAGGGGCTGGACTTTGCGGGCCCCGCCCCGGCAGCGGGGAGGGTCCCGGTGGAGGCGGCGGGGGAGGGGTGAGTGGCCGCGGGCTGGGGGCCAGGTTGGCCTAGCCGGGGGCGGGGGTCAGCGGGGGGCGGCAGGGCTCACCGTCTGCTGCAGGTCCGGGATACCGACGCGCACGACCACTGCGCTGGGGCCCGGGCCGTCCATCCCGGCGACGGGGCCGGGGCCGCCTG